CAAACAGCAATTTCAGATCCTTGTACTTGATGATCGCTTCTTCCTTAGAATTTGCTCCAACGAACAGGTTATCCACATACAGATTGGTCGCAATTTCTTCAGCAAGAGCACGGTTCGTCACATGATTGTTGAGATGGAAGAGTATAGTGCCACTGAGAAGAAAAGGCGAAGCGTTTTATACCAACGTGACCCTCGTGAAGCGATAAACGACGAGGTTGTCCTCCGACAATGGTTTCTTGATGTCTTTGACCCCAAGCAGCGCGTAACATCGCGGTCTTCCTCATGAAGGTATACTTGGAGAAACGCCTTTTCCACATCGGGAGTAGCACGTATTTCGCAACTCGAAATCGCAGTAGAATTTCGTACACTTAGGCAGGATTGTAGGGCTTGATGTACCATGTCGTTTAGTGAGGGACGGTTCTTATAGTGAGCAGATGCGTCGAAGACTACTCTGAATTTTGTGGTGTCCTTCTCTGGAGTGATCACTGGCTGATGAGGAAGATAGTGAATCCTTTTTGCAAACGAGTCCTTCGATTCGTCGACCTCCTCGATGATGTTCTTTCTCAACTGATCTTGGAAGACTTCATGATATTGTTGAAGAACATCTGGTCGAGTCTTGTATATGTTGAGGATACTTTCCAGACGACGACGAGCAAGAACACGGTTATCTGGGAGTGTCTCGTGGATGTTCTTGAAAGGAAGTCGCACAAAATACCCCTGCTGGCGCCTTTCGATAGAATTGTTGAAGTTTTCGAGCACCTTAGTGTTTATCTTCGCTTTTTCAACTTTTTCAGGACCGGTGAACTCTTCTTCGTCGAAATCTTCGTCTATCCGAGTCGTCGAACCGTGGTCGATGATGTTCTCTGTATGCGCCATGCACACAGTTAGTGTTCTTTTTGGAGAAAGGTATCGTCCGTGATCCTTTTCCCAGAGACTATATACCCTACACGCGTAGGAATGAGGAGTAACCCTGACGGCAACGTGAACTGCGGCGCTTCGAAGTCACAAAGCTCCAGAGTTGATCACAGCCGAGCACTATCTGGGAGGGCCCGATGCTACAGTTGAGCCGCAGCATAAGTTGATGCGCCCTTCTTTATGAAGGCGAGGTCTTCGGCTTCAAGTACTCCCTGTTTGTGGCTTGCCGTGAGAATGTCGTGAGTGTAGAGCTGTAAGCTGTGCTGTTTCCCTTTAGCATCCCAGATTTTCAGCTCTGTTGTGCATTCAATTTCTCTGGGTTTGACTAGCTCCGAAGGTTGACAGCTTCATGGATGTGTATCACCCTTGGGAGTTCAAGTTCTCTTGCTAAGCAAGCGTCGATGAAAGATCTGTCTGCTCCTGTATCAAAGAGTACATTGATGTATACGGGATTTTTTGTGCGAGGATGCTCTGTGCGGAAAACTCCCGACAGAAGAAACACATCACTTGCTTTATTTCGCCCTCATCGCTTTGTCGCACAGTTAAGGCCGCGTTAGTTTCAGTATTTTCTTCTTCCTGCGGGTGGTCCATTTCACCGTCAGACGATCTGCTTTCTTCACAAATAGCCACGTTTTGACGCGTCTGGCCTTCTTTCTTCCTAGTTGGTACCTTCGTTTTTGCAGGTGGAGCCTTTCCTTCAGCGGCCTTGAAGCACAGAGACGTATGATGTTTCTTGCCACAAATTCGACATCCTGTAGATTTGCATTCCGAATAGACATGACGTTGCGAGCCACAGTTGATGCACCTCTTTCGCAGCTCTCAAGTGCTCCAAGCGCTGCTTCGCATTGGTTATTTTTGTACAGGCTACAGGCCAGTGAGTTTTGCTGTCACAGTAGAAGCAGCTTGGAGAGGCTCTGATGTCCTTAGATTCTGCAGGTTTTTTCAGGCCTTTTGTACTTTTCGGGAGCTTCTACTCTTCTTGGCAATTCCTCCTCGATCTGCTCCTCCTGCTTGATGATGTTGTCGAGACATTCCATTTGTCTCCTGAGGTCCAAGTGTTATCCTCCGCACAGACCTCTCCTTCAGTACATACCGCTGGATGCTCTCCGAAAATTTCGACAGAATTTTGCTAGTGAGCCAAGGGTTATCTAAGTCCTGGCCTTTGGAGCGGAGCTGTTCGATTACGGCTGAAAGTTGGTCAAAGAGTCTGCGCTGGTCTTTAAGGCTAGTGCTTTTGGCACTCCATTTTTCAAGCCTGCGATGCAGCTCAGTGACTATTTCACTGGTTCTTCCATACTTGTCCTTCAGGTGATTTATGGCTAAGACGTAGTTCGTCGACGTCACTTGGTATCGTGCGATTGACTCACGTGCCTCTCCCTTCAGAGATTGCAACAGGTAGTTGAACTTCTGAAGATCGGGGATGGGCTGAGAATGAACGGTTGCATTGAAGAGTTCCCAGAAATTGTCCCATTGCCAACTCCTTCCGCTGAATTCTGGGATGGGGAGCCTTGGAAGTTCGAATCTTGCAACCGACGAGGTATGAAATTCGCGTTGGCAGGACGTAAGCTCAAGCTTCTTGATTTGAAGTTCTGTCAGGAATGCTTCTGCTCGACACATGAGTTCCTGCGCTCTGTCAATATATTCTGAGACTTTTCGCTCCTCATCTTCTTCCAAAGGCGTCCCGAGATTGTCAACTGCTGCAGTGAAAGCATAGAAAGCTTTCTCCGTTGACGCGTACGTGGTGCGTATTTTTAGATCGGCTCGATTGATCTGGGTGAGAACGTCAGTGCTTTCCTCCGCATCTCCTTCCCTGATCAAGTTCGCAAAGAGGTCCAACTGTTGGTCCAGCGTATTCGATTGACGCGTGAGTACACCTTTCTTAGCTCTGAGAGAGGTCGTCATCTGGGTGAACGAAAAAAAGACTGCTGGCGGATGCTGTAGGAGCAATGTCGAGAAGAAAAGCGTCGAAGACCGACCAAGATAGAAGAACTGGACGAAAAAGCCTAAGTGAAATGACCCCGTAGTCCTCCTGGAAGAGAGTCCAATTACTTCCTACAGTCCAATGCACGTAATGCACCACGGAGAATCCAAAACTGTTAGAAAGTGTAGTTACTTTCAACAGTATGATGCACCAGTTAGACGGTTAGAAATAGAGCACTCACGCGAGTAGTAAGCGTTATATTGAAGCAAGGCAAAAGAAATATTGCGCACCGATCTTTGATGGCTTCTTCTTGTCCTTACGGTGGCACTGATTCTGCTGGCGACTCGAATCCTTAGTGCCGATGCACCATGTAATATTGCCCACTTTGCCACGCGGTTGATCGTTGAGATTTATTCGAACCTCAAACTTGGGTAATTAAACATAAAAGAGGCATAACCATTAAACGAACATACACTACGATTCTAGAAACGATGAGGAAATCTCAAGAGCATTTCTATGAAACTACTAAGCAAAGAGCAAAAATAAATGTAAGAGACAAGGAAAAATGCACCTGATCCTACAATGCACCCAAGCGAATCGAGCGTCGGCGCTTCCTCTTTTATGCGGACTAAGTATGTTTTCCTACGAAAGAATGTATACATTATGCCTTGTTTTCTGAGAAAATCTACCATTTCAATCAGATAAGGAGGAAAGGAATTCAACTAACTGTAAAGCATGAGAAGAAAAACAGTTACATCCTGAAAGTGAAAGAATATACATGAAACTAATGAAACTAAAAAGCATGACTCGTTCTAATCTATATATGATCACAGTTGTGATACGAGCCAAAGCTACCCTTGGGGACAGGTGCTAGCCAGATGTAGGCTTTTGACCTACTTTGAAAAGTGCAGAAAAGTGCGCTAGCGAATCGAATGAATAATCACAAATAGTTTAGTGCCAATCTCTTGTCGAGTTGCTTGTCTTTGGACGAAGGTTGCTTTTTCAGATACAGGAACTGGCGGGCAAGAACACCATATTGCGTGAGAAATGGCAAGCAGGCTTTGCGCAGGAGATATGTATCTGCAGTGGAAATAGGCAATGTGAGATCAAAACTGAGCTTTAACGCCATGATGCTTCACTTTTCGAGAGTCACTGTCAAAATTCCAAATGTGACTTAGAAACCCTGCCCTAGGCGTATTTGCGCCGCCGCCCGATAAACACGAATATGGCTCGCTGTCAGGCGGCGAAATCGCCTGCACTGTGCGCCAAGGGCACCTGTACATCCAAAAATTCTCCTAGACCACAAGGCAGAAAGCGCGCCAGTAAGCGAACGCAAACCGTTTTTCAGGCAAGTTTAGGAAAGCGCTAATGTAGTAGTGACGCTACAACCACTTTTGCCACGTTTGCGCAAAAGCAAAAAAGTTAAGTTCAGCAGGGCTCCGTTCCCATGACCTGTTGCGTGGTAAACGCGGAGGAAAAAGCCCCATAACTCCGTTCATAGAGTCTGCATTCTGCAAATTCTGAAGGCAGATTTGAAATCAGCATCCAAAACCACGTCCCGCGAGCTACATCTCATTAGAAATGGCCACTTTGACCTGGCGACCTTCCCTAGTGAGATCAGTAAGTTCGTTGTTGCGCTGTGAATAGCACTTCTCGGACTATGAACTACCATGGATGTTCTTGGTTGACACTTTGCGTTTTCCGAGAGTCAATTCCTGCACCGGTTTCGCGTCTTCTCCTCTACATCAGTCCAGATTTCCGATGAAAGAGTCCGTCCTTGAAGGTGCAGATCGTCATCACAGTCATGGTATGCCTCTCACTCCAGGGGTCTCGAAATCTCACCAGCCTTTTCCGAGCCTTGCCTTACAATCATGCTCTGCCTCTGGTCCCCTCAGATTCAAGAGTGTGCGCCACGCCACGGCTGTTACTTTTTCGGCATACACATTAACCACTCGTGGCCTGCTATGCTCTAACGCGGTACCTTCTGGTGGGTTGAGACCTTTCTTCTCCACGCCACGTTAAGGCTGCGGATGGTTCACTTACTACTGCCTCGATCGAACCTGTTTTCATGCTTAGCTTTGTGTTGACAGCGGCATTTTCAGTAGCCTACTTCTTGTTGAAATAAGAGTTAAGTGAATTTCATTCTAGAGTAAGAAAGAAAGTCATGGTAATGAGGAAGTTTTCCGAAAAGGCAGTCAGTGAGTGTTAACCTTCTTCATTAAAAATCTAGTTGTTCGTCATCTTCCAGGGGTTTCGCGGGTCAAAGTGGTGGTCTTCTGACTATTATGTTACTTCTTACCTTTTTATCTATGTCTCTTGACTCGCAATGCACAGCACAGTAGTCAGGCTGTTGTAGACTGTAATAAAGAGCATGGAAGAGAAGGGGCCGCTCTGAAGGGGTGGCGAACTTGCTTTGAAAGTGACTTGGCAGAAGGGACCGTCTGGCGTACACTTGGTACGCTGACTCAAAGTATGGACGCACTGTTGAACAAGCCGCAGTGTTAGAGACCGTTGAAGTGCTACTCAAGGGTGGTGCCCTGTGAAGGTAAAGACAAGAGAGCATCAGACACAGACACACAAGACACAGACACTGTTTTCGGTCCTTAATTGCATGTTGTCGCCATCTACTACCTGGAACCATCGTCCTTTGCGGGCGGACGTCGCACGCGACGCCCAGCAGCGCGGCGAATTACGATCCTCTTGTCACATACCCATGTAATAATTACGAGTATGGCTACGCAAGTTTATATCGGTTATGGTGAAAAAAAGTGGTCGGTCTCAAATTGGGGCCTATAGCGTCGAATGACGCTAACGCCAGAAACGGACGTCATATTCGTGGTCAGAGCACCGAGTAATCCCTATAAGCGATGTTCAGCAGAAAATTTTTCGAAGTGTTTTTATGCTACTTGTGCTGCTAGTTGAGACCCCTACAACTGATCTCCTTGGTCCACTATTTGCATGAATTAACAGAGGGATGAAGACTTGTCCCACGGGGGGAAATTCCCTCGAGGAAGGTGAACTATTTCTACAAATTTCATAAAAAGCCCGTCTGCCACATGTGGTGGACATGGTCCGAAGTGAACATCTCGGTGTCCACCAGTAGTGCCGGACATTGTCACGAGTGGGTTGAGCAGCTAGCAGTTTAGTCACGCTCAACCCGAGGACATTGTGCAGGCTGTCTATCACAGAACGCGGGCGGTTCGAGAATGCCTCCCGGACATAATCGTCAACTGTTCACAGATCGCAGTCGCTGCCACTTTCAAAGCTCAATACATGAACACGCTCGCCTGAGTTCTGATAAAAAGAGTGTCCCTAGGGAGCATTTCTGAGAATTACAGGA